GACACCGTGAGTTTTTTTAATGTTATTTGTTTGATATTATTATGGTTAACATTAATATGTACAAAAATTTGTTATTATTGTTATTGATAGTGGTGAAAATGATTTTAAGAATAATGTTTTTAAGAGCATCCGATGGTGAGGATGAGTTAGAGTTGGGTATTGTTGACACGTACGTGGTGTTATGGAGGATTATTCGATTGAAACCGATGATTTGGATGTTGTTCGTTTTGTTAACGGGAAAGGTGTGTGGTTGTTTTATTTTGATTGATTCAATGAATTGTTTTTTCATATTGAATATGCCGTATCGTTAATATTTTCTTGCATGTGAGATTATGCAAAGTCCATTGCGGTGGGTGAAGAGAGTCGAGTGGCTGATGCGCAGTGTCGCTAGGCAAATCAAATTTTCGGATGAAGGCAAGCAATGGCTTGTATAAATCGCAAATGATGCGAGCCTGCTCCGTCTATCGTTGCAAATTTTTTGCAGATTTTTACGTACAATTTCCTCCCACCTCCCCTACTCCTCTAGCGAAAAATGTCGGAAATATTAGCGAAAATGTGATGTTGTATGGAATAAATGAATGAATTTAATGAAATGAAATGAAATTCAGTTTGCATTCGCGGCCACAGATGGAATAACGAGTTTGAAGTTGATTGGAATGGGTATGCCGAAAGATAAATTGTCGAGTATGGCGGTGTTTTTGACACCTTTACAGGTTGTTATTGTTGTTTATTTATAAGTTGATATGAATGTTTTAGTATTGTTTAATTGTTGTTAATGATTTGGTAATTCAATTAAAGGTGTTGCTGCCGTGGATGATAGGTAAATACACTGCTGGTCCTCGTCCACTCAACGTTTTCTTATTGGCCTATCCGTACAGGATATTCATGGGTGGTGTTTTTGCCGCATTATTGTGGTGGACGCCATCGTTCCGATTGCCTGACGGTGATTTTCCAGTCACTTTGTATGCTATTTGGGTGATTGCCTATTGTTTTCATCAGGTTATTATTATTATTGTTATTGCTATTGTTATTATTATTATTGCGTGTCTAATGTAATTGTCAATAGATGTTAGTAATAGTGATGTTTTTAATATGAATTTTTGGGAATTTTAAGGTGGCATCGTATTGTATGTT